GTAAATCTTTACGGGAGTAGAAAGCCTCATCTTTCTCCCGTGGAGCTGCTGGTAGTTTCAAACCACTGACCTTAAGGTTCGCAGCCCAATTCGTAACCACTACGCTACCAGAGCTCCTTACAGTACCACATTAGGATTCCTTTATACATAAGAGCATACAATATTTGTCCTTTTAGACTGACTTATTTGAGTAGCATGAGGTTTTCAAGGTTCATCCACGGTAAGTATGTGTCAAGACTTTATTTCTCTTCATGTCAGAGTATTATTCCACTGCATTTATGTACTGTGTTCATCTGTTAATGGACAAGTTGGGTTGTTTCTACACTTTAGCTATTGTGAATACTGCTACAGTGAACATTGATATTTGAGTCCCTGATTTCAAATCTTTGAAGGCATACAACTGGGAGTAATAGAGTCCTGGTGTGGCCCTGTAGAATAAGCACTGGACTGCTAACTGAAGGTCGGTGGTTCAAACCTACCAGTTGCTCCTTGGAAACCCTATATATAGAGTCACTATGAATCGGAACAGATTCAATGATACTTATCAACAATAACCTAGGAATAGTATTACTGAGTCTTAGGGTAATGTTTTGTTTGCCTTTTTGAGAAACATCCAAACTGTTTTTCACAGTGGCTATTCCATTTTATGGAGCCCTCGTATGTATGGCGCTGTAGGACAAGCACGGGACTGCAAGGTCAGCGATTCAAACCCACCAACCACTCATCGGAAACCCTATACAGGTTCACTTTGAGTTGGAACCGATTCAATTGCTCTTAACAACAACAACATCCAACTTTATAAGGAGACCTGGTAGCATAGTGGGTTACGAGTTGGGCTGCTAACCAGAAGGCCTAGGAATAGTATTTTGAATTTGTAAATGAGCAATTGATGGTCTGTTCCACAATCTGCTCCTGGCCTTGATTTGACTGAGGATATAGAGCTTTTCCATCATCTCTTTCCACAAATGTAGTCAGTTTGATTTCTGTGTATTCCATCTGGTGAGGACCCTGTGTATAATCATCTCTTGTGGGTTAATGCACTAGACTGCAAAGCCGTTTGAACTGCAAGGTTGGCAGTTCAAGCTCACCAGCTGCTCCTGGGAAACCCTATACAGGGTCGTTGTGGGACGGAACCGACTCAACAGTACTTTACAACAACAACATGGTGTCTAAAAAAGGTATTTGAAATGAACAAATCATTGATTTTTCAGAATTCTATCATGTGATCTCCAGCATCATTTCTATCACCGTGGCAATATTTTCCAACTACTGATCCTTCCTCTTTGTTCCCAACCTTTGCATTCCAATCACCAGTAATGATCAATACATCTTTTTTTT